CAGTCTGCTTACAGTTTCTTTTGTATCAAATTTGACATTATGAAGGCTTTCGGACAGGAACCCCAAGGTCTGTTTGGCAGTTTCCTTGCCCAGCTGCAGCCCAGCTAGCGCACATAAGGAGTATGTGACCTGGGAGGTTTTTTTAAACTCGGGTCCTACCAAGGAAAGCCTTTAGCTTCAGAGTGGGTTCCCAATTCAAATCCAGGTATTGGCCTAGACAGCAGCCATCCCACATAACATTCGCAGCTCTATGAATTCAAGGAAAACATACTGGACAGATTTTGAAGCTGAAAGCATAACTCACTTCTTTAATGTAGTTCATCTCTTCTTTCAGCTGATCCGCTGACCAGCCGTAAACCACCATTTCTCTCTGATGGTTGTTGTCAGTCCGGTGCACGACACCATACACCATCCCATGAGAGAGCTTCCCTGGAGACATGCCATTTGGTACATGGTAGAGTTCCTTACAAGCAAATAAAAAGTTATTTTTAAATCAGTACTAAAATAAAAAAATAACAAAAATACAGTAACGTAAGGCCAGGAAAGACAGCCAACTATAGGTAAAGCGTAGCAATACTTAAGAACATTAGTTCCCAAACATTTGGGGGCCAAAATGTCAACTCTCATATTTTTGGAAGATCCATAAACTGGTATTTATCACTGATGATACAAATGTCTAATTTCTACCGGCTTTAATGGAAGTGATATATTAACAGCCAGGGAAAACAGGCTGTATTTGCCTGAGAAGAGAAAAGACACATAACACAAAAAGTTATCTTGGCTTATTTTTGTTCATCAACATATGTTCTTTTTTTGCATGTTTCTGGAGCACCATCAGCTCTCACAGTTTCCCTTTAACTCTTGCAGCCATGGAACCTCCCACCCCACAAAGTCCCTGCTGTGCAAAATATCAGAATTCACAAATTTAATCAAACTTTGTAGGGAGTTGTAAGAAGAAACTGAAATTGAATCTTCTTAAAAAAAATCCCACAATTTAGGCAAGGTTTCATATGTAGAACTCAAAAAAATATCTAATTATCTTGTGTTTATTTTGTTGATACAGCTAGAATTTCAGTTTGCATTTAAAGCTAAGGACCTCCAAAGTAATCTAACATTCATTTTAGGGCTACACTTCTCTTACAGAAATTGCAGAACTGATGTGGCGAGAGCCAAAGCAGAGCCGCGAAACACAGCGTTTGTGTGGTTGTTAGAGCGTTATCCAATATCATAGGAGAGACAAAACTTTGCACTCAGGTCTTGCTAGGTAAGTAGAAAGGCATTTTTAAAGTCCCTAAACTTCTTATTTTTATAATCTGCAGGAATCTGTACAGCACACTTGTGATAATTGTATGCCTTATTTTAAGGCAGTCTTTGCAACAGATTCCTCTTAGTCAGAACATCAATACACTTGGTAAAAAAAAATCATGCAAAAAGTAGGAATTGTCTCCCTTTGCATGTAAATAAGTATCTCAAGGTCAGATGTAGCCACCTGACCTGACTACTCCCCTAGCCTCCCTTACAGTCAACCGAGAGAAGCACACTTCCGGGGTTTGACTCATTTGAGATGCCTGCCCTAGAAGTGCTTATTTCTCTCTCCTGATTACAGAGAGTCTAAATGACTAGCTATACTAAATGGAGACATGCACGTTGTGGCTTTAAAAAATAATAATAAAAAAATTAATCTCACCTAACTTTGAATAGTTGCAAACTGAGAACCTAGAATTAGTGATTATTTATGAATATAAAGTTAGAAAGACACAGTCTTAAGAATACAGCTGTTACTGCTTAACCTTGCACACAAGAAGAGTCTTTTGAAGGCTAGTACTGAGGACAAATCAGTTATAGATAGCTTTATTTAATTTTCTTTCTCAAGATTTATCAAACACAGTAAACGTACCAAATACATCGGCCTTAGAATATGCGCACGTGTGTGTCGGGGGGGTGTTGTTTTTGTTTTTCCCCCAAACTCTGTTGTTGATAAGTGACTCAGTACGAACTCTTACAGGCTTTGAGACTCTTTGCTAAACTAAGAGTCTAAGCAGTGTCTGAAAACTCTTTGACACCAAACAGAGGCAGGAAAAGATGAGCTCTTGTATCTGCCTGGGATCACACCCTAGAGAGTTTCCCATCTTCACCATGGCAGAGGGCAAGGGTGGCGCCTGCAGGCTAAAGCTCCTTCAGCTTTTAGCAGTCAAAGTAACACAACTTCAGTGATGACGCAGGAATAAATATTTCTTGGGGTAGGAGGAAAATGGATAGGAAAATCCGCTAGGATTAAGAAGAATGGGTAGGGATGGACACTTGTTTTACATGGTAGAGAATCACGGAAAGTTGTGTTCCTCTGGCATGGCACTGACAGATTTGCTCAACACTGCAAAGTCTACACACTGTCCTTTACTGTACCATTAATGGTTTAACTATACTGCTAAAGCTCGAGGGGTTGGGTAGGCCTAGGAGGGGAACAACCCCAGCACGAGCACCTGATAAAGAAAGTTTCAGGCAAAGAACTACAAAGCTATACGCAACAATTTAAAAAGAAAGCCATAAAACCACTCAATGGAAAAAACATTGGGTAACCAGCCCTACCTCCACCTGATACCATTTTGCACTTTGAAGATATTATATGCAGATTTCATAGCCTGACAATCAAAAGTTACATAATTACGTATTACTAGGTTTTTTGTTTTGGTCTTTGGACATGTACAAACAAAAAACCCACACCCGGTATTTTGAGAGTGGAGAAAATGAGCACGCTTTACAGGAACTAGGTGAGGACACGACTCAAATTTTTTATTTGTTTGTTTCCAGGATTGCCCAGTTTCTTTGGTAGTTTCATCTCAGCTCCTCCCCTGAATCTGGATAAAGGGATTACAATTAAGTTCCCATCTTCCAGATAACCAAATGAATAATCACTTTGATTGTCTAGATGTTACTAAGGCCCCAGACATTGAACTCATACCCTTCACCCACTATAATTCATTTCTTGACATGAAGAACTGAATACCAGTAACTACTGAGATCCTTTGTGCCTCAAAACATTGGCAGAATTGTTTAAAGTGCTGTTTACAGACTTCTGTATGAAGATTATGATCAAGTTCCTTATTTTTAGAATATTATAAACACATTCCTAAGGAATGCTTTGAAAGATTTCTCTCCCCGCCATCCAAAGGAAAGACCAACAGATTCAGATTACCAGGTTTGCAGACAGAGAATCACCCAGGGCACTTTTATATTTCCCAGATGAGCAGAATTGTATTTACAACTTAAAGGACAGTACATGCAGGATTAGGTACGCACAATCCAGACTGGTTATACTTCTCTTGCAAAAATGCTAAATTTGCTTGCTGTCTATATTTGCACAAGCCTCCCAAGATGCCTTTATCACTGCTATTTCAGAAGATTTATTTAAATCTCCATCATCTGCTGAGTGTTCCAGGTCTAATATGCGCTACTTAAAATACAGGATATTGTTCTTACCCTCCCTTCGTATCACAAATTTCAGGCAAGCACCTGTTAAAATTTCAGTACAGCCCTTGGTTGATTTAAAGCTGCATGAATCACCAGCTATACACATAGCTGCTCTCGTATTTCTTCAGTCCTTTTCCTTGCTGTTCCATTCCAGCTACGCTTGTCTTCCACCTGCCCCCCCACCCACCCCGCTTTTCCCTGCTTGGTAACTTATTTTTCCACTCCCAAGACCACTTGTCCCAGGGAGCAGCATGCAGCCTGACAAACATGGACTAACATGAGGCAGCTTCCCCTTAAAGAAGAGACTATAATCAGGGCACAAAACAACGGGGAAAGTTTTGTTCCATGCAGTGGTTAAAACGTGCAGTAGTTTTTGCTTTACTTGTTGACTACTTTCTTGTAATACACTTTTGCCTCAAAAGGAGGCCTTGCCGACTGGCTCAGTCAACTGCATCAAGCATATACCAATCACACATTCCGCCAGTTTTCTCCTCTCTTTAGTTACTTCCCCCCTTGTCTTTCTCCATTCAATATTTTTTCCTTTTTCTCCTTGCATTCTCTTCCTGATCCTCTGTCACATCCCCTTCTCTCTTGTGCTTCTTCTTCTACAAACCCTGGATTTCCCACATCCAAGGATTACAGAATCTTTTTAAAGTCAAACACTTTTTGTTATTTGCTTCTGTCTCCCATACATATCCCCTTTAAACTCAATGTTTCTGTGAGAAGGTCCTCACCTGTCTCCACTCTGATCTGCAGTGAGGTATCTTCCTTGAAGCTGGAAGGTTTTTCAAATTAGTTAAGCATTGTTGCTTAAGGTCAAAAGATCAGCCAACTCAACTCTGTAGGAAGGTTCCTGCTGCCCACCTGCCCAGCACTGGCTGCACTGGAGCCAGACCTTTCCTGAGCAGAGTCTGCTGCACCAAACGAAGCTCAGAAACCCTTCTGATGTCAGCTGCTGAGCTGAAGTTGCAGACTGAATTCAACCAACTCGTGACTCTTTCTTTGTACCTATAGCCAGCCTTATGACAATACAGGTTAACGGCAACAACACACCATTTTGATGCACACAAATACTATGGCAGATTCCAGGAACGTGCTTTGTCCAAGTTTTAGCAACAGTCATGTTGTACCTGGTGCGATTAAATGGTACGTATTAACAAAAAGTGGACTGTGTATACTTAACAAATATTTAAGACAGTAGCCTACACCCCAAGGTTGCAAAAGGCTTGATAATTGCCATGCATCCTGTTTATGTCTTTGTCCAAATAAGTAGCATGAGTAGCAAGTAAGTAATGTGAAGCAGATACACTATAAAAAACCCTAAATATGAGCTGAGAGCTGGGGTTTTTGTCTCATATGTGCAACTATATTGCGTGTGGTTTTATTAGCATTACGTAAGCCACACTGAGGGGAGAGTTTCTCCTTATCTATCTCCATAAACTTTTAAAATGAAAGTCAGACACCCTCATGCTTCATTTGTTCTCCCTGTCCAAAAATTGGAAGTAGAAGCACAGAAGAGGTATCCTGTTTTGAGGAAAAGCACATCTAATGTCACGATTAGCATAATTCTGGGGTTAGTGCACATGTGGATTTAATTTAGTAAGCACCTTAAAATTTTGCTAAATCACAATCTTCAGTTTACTAGCACCATCTAAAAACTCTTCTTTTAACCTACTACCACATCAGTTAAGCTACACTTTGTTTTCCTCAAATGCCACAGCCTTGGGGTTTCTTAAATACCCAGTTATGTTTTCCTTTTTAACTAGTTATACAAAGAGCAAGAACATTCACATTGTTACTTAGGTCATACATTTTCTGTCCTGTAAAATGACAGGTTTATAATATTGAGCTCACTAAGGAAAGTTACTGTGCTGTGAGAAAAACAGTTATGTTTCTTTGTATTCACCTACAGCTTATGAAACTCATGCTACATTTAGGGATGCTTCATATATAAATAGTATTAAAATATGGAAAATGTGCCAAGACACAGACATGAGTGTTCTCAAACTCGTGATGCTAAATGAGAAGTATCTTTTAAACACATTCCAACTTTTAAGCTCTTAAAATGTTGTAGAAGTTAGGTGCCCATCTCAAAATAGAAAGGACAAGCACCACACATCAAGTCACATTTAATTGATGAGATCTGCACCCAGAACATCAATGTTTATACACTAAGAAAATAAGATACAGCAAATACAGCAGTAGCCACAGAAGTCAGTAGAATTCTTCCTATGCTCTGCATGTAGTGCTGTATTTAAGTAAGGAGTTACTTAATTAGCACACATCAAAATCAAGCAGTCAGTGCTAAAATTAAAGCATTTGAGGATATACACAGCCAGAGTACCAAGTGGATTTATGCTACATAAAACTAAGACACTCAAACCAAAATAAAAGTATATAATGTTATGTATTCATATAATTGTACTGGTTTAAGCCTTAACATTGGTCAAACTGTTGAAAGGCACAGATATAGGGAAGTTAGACAAATTTCTAGAGTGTTATCTTGCTTTCATTCTCTTTCCATGTTCCCAATTGAAAGAAAGAAAACAATCTGTCTACACATATCTGCATATTCTGCCCTGGAACACCTAGCTGCAGCTTCCACTGACACTTCCAAATTTAGCCCTAACAGTTAACTGCATGGAGGAAGGTACTAATGGATAAAAATAAAATAATCCCAAACACAGACAACAGAATTGTCCACTAGTCCTTTGTTATTCAGTCTGAGTTGCATATGATCTGACCAGCACAATATTCCTTTGTACTTCCTGGTGAAGTAAACAGCCTCACACTACTGTCTCCCATTGTCCAACATTAACTGAAGTAATGCAACAAACTTGCAATGGTTTCAGATACCCTCTAGCTACAGCTCTAGCGATTCAGAGATATTTAGCAGCAGGCTTTTAGCCTGTAAGTCGCAAAGAAGCAAACCTCTACATGTGACGCTAGTTCTCATGTTTCTTTCAAGGTGTCGCAGCCTAAATACAAATATAAAAACCCAGCCTGACACACAGGAGCACAAGCTCTCCCTTCAGTTTTTGAGATCACCCTCTAACTGTGTACCATCTGCCCGTCTTTCACAAAACAGGGGAGAGGCAGTCCAACTACATCAACGCTTGCAGCAGTTTTGTTGCAATAGAAGTGTCCAACTCCCTCCCTTTATTTAATCTGTTATGCTATTTTACAGTTATTTCATAGGCACGCAGCAATAAAAAAAGTTAGAAACTTAATACATTAATACAGATTTAATGAAATATAGCATACATTTTCTGTTAAACTTGGACTGCAATGAAAAAGGCTATGTTAATTGCTACTCTTATAACCAATAAAGATCCAGAATTACTTCTGATTTAACAAGATCAGATCTACCAAAACAAGGTACTGAGAGTATTAGCATTAGCGAGAGCTTCTGTACAGTTCACCAGCTGATTTTGCAAACAAAACATCTCCTAATGGTGCTCAGCCCCAGAGGTGCTGCCATTCACAGCAGATATACAAAAAACCAATAAACAGTCAGAATGACATCACGATGTCACATTAAGGGCAGCTCAAAATCACCTCCTTCTCATGAAAGATTAGAAAGGTAAGAATACAACCAAATGTCAGGCCAGGGTATATTTATAGTTTTTTCGCATTCCCACCAGCCCTGCTTGGCAGCGGGTCTGCAGGACTCGTCCTGCACAGATGGGGACAGGGACAGGAGTGCCCAGCAGCCCGGCTTCAAGCACCCTGTCCCCAAGGTGCTCCAGCAAAACCTGCACATCCCACAGGCTGCACACACGGTCCACCCCCATGCACCACACTGGGGCTTTTTAATTATCAAATACATTTTCCAAATGCTTTTCCATTATGTTTATTCTCCTGACACTCAGCATTTAAAGGTACCACAGAACTGTGGTTTCCTTCAGAGACTGCTCTTGGCAGAGCTGTACTTTTTGACCTTAAACTGAAAAGTGCAGGGCAGGGAAGTGCCTGGTTCCCTAATCTCTCTTTATCATCCCTGTTCACAAACAGGAGACATAGTTCTCATAGGGGTGTTTGAGGATTATCTGACATTTATAAAATTCTATTGTTCTCGAAGTACTTTAAGGAATTTCATTAACACTGAAGATCAGATCAGTTGAACATGGGTGGATCAGCAGAGACACTGGATCACTGCTTTTAGGAGATACTTTTATCTTACTGCAAACTTTAAAAAGAAAATGCATCACAGCTGATTAAATAATAGCCCTGTGTGCACTACAAGTTACTATGTAACTAATTCAAATATATAAAGTAATACATTACAGAGATAATAAAAATCTACCAGCAATAAATTACTACCTTATTTCAGAGGCAGGAGGAAAAAACATGATCATGATCAGTGATTTTTTGTGGTTGCTTCTATACATTATGAATATACAATCTGCAGGGATACTTTCTGGATTACACAAAGCCTATGAGACACAAGTTGATGGCACAATTATTACACATATTTTTTAATTGCTATGACTTGGACTAATTAGATGCCATCTAGCTCTGAGGGCTTTCTATATGCTTCCTACACGTCTTTAACTTCAAATTTTGTAAAAATACTGAGCTTTAGAAAACTACTAAAAATATACAGTAACCAAATTACATATAAATTTTTTTGATATCAACTGCAAAGGACCCATCTCTTAAAAGAGGTACAGTATACTGAAATGCAACATGAGCCCAGTAATGTGCAGCGCCTTCATACCCCCTCCTTAATATTCTCTGAAAGAAAATCCACTTGCCCTAACTCATATTAAGGGAGAAATACAGCTCTCATTAAATTAAATATAAGGTTTCACAAACAAACAAAAAAAGTCACATAAGAAAGTGACTAAGAATTGTCCCAGCCCTAATCATTCATACTTCTTTCTCATCATTAAACTACTCAGCACAGTCAAGTGAGTAAGCCAAGAGTCAATATCTATCCTCCTCAAAAACAAACTTGCATTATTCTTAGGGCAATGGGCCCATACACCTTAGGCCAGTCCAAGCGTTTCTGCAGTCACGCACAAAGCAACAGAGAATTGAAGGTGGTGGGGGAAGATTCTCTAACTGTTGCAACTAAACCCCTCTGAACAAAATGAATTATTGCAGTTTATTGGTAGCCCAAATTTAGTTTGCACTAAGGCCTCTTTACTCCATTCTGTAAGTAACATTTATAGATCCTCAAAAACCTATAACTCTGCCAGAGCAGTGTATGAAGAGCTGAATGTATACAAGATTCCAGCACAAGAAATATCTGATAAATAATCTTTATTTTGACCACTTTGTTTTGCATTTATTGTAATTGTTTTAAAATGTTTGTCATTCTGTGTCATTTCACAGTTACTTTCATTTATGAGAATCACTAAGCAATTACTTCAAAGATATACTATTGTTGTACTGCTTCTTTTTTTCATACTGCTATTTAGACATGAGGCCTGGTAAGCTCAGTCAAATTCTTGTTTGGTTTTGGTTTATCAAAGTGTAAATGTGGTTAAGTGGTGGAGCCTATCCAGCTTTCCTTAAGACAAGTTAAAAATAATCTACTGCACTGAAACAGCTCTTAGAGCTCTCGGCAGCTCTGCACCAAAGAAGCTTTAAGATTTTTTTTGTGCGAGTGTTACTTGCTTCTAGGAAAAACTGGCCTTTTGAACCCTTAAGTCACTTCCTCTTCAGAACAATCTTGAATTCTTCATTTTGTATTTCTTATTAGTGCATCACCTATTACCAAAATTAACTCACCTAGCAAAATACCCAAGTTCCAAGCAAGCCATACACATTAAGACACAAATCTCACACAGTGTTAAGCCTACATGAACCACAAGATCCCCATTAGGTGAGGATCTTCTTGTACAATCCTTAATGTAAGGCCACGTTCTTGATAGGGGTTTCCTTCTCTTCCTGTGCATAAATATAAGATAAACCAGTCTTAATGGTACCTCAGCCATACTTCACAAATCTACTATTGTCCTTCTAGTCTATATGCAGTTTTGCTGTCCCCAACTCCAGAACTCAAGTTCAAGCTCACAACTAACTTACTGGGCTTCCCTGTGTACTTCAGTCTTCCAAAGTGATCTGGGTCCCATCACCACAAATTTCTGCTTCTGTGGATGGCAGTATTTACTCCTTTTCTATACAGAATTTAACTTTGTTTCTTAAAACTTACTTTTTTCTTTCTCTCAGGTTCCTTTGTTACTTGCTCGGGCTGTGAGCTTTCATCAGGTGGTACTGTTAAGCGTAATCTGCAGACATTCATCTGCAAGGAAAACAGAAGTTTGCTTTTAGAGTGCTATAAAATTTTATTTTAGTAACTTGCTTTAGAAAGTAAACTGTGTTTGCATTCAAGTTCTAATTTACTATTTTCTACTGTCTGCCACATACCTAACGAAACAAAATTATATTTTAAAAGTTGGAGGCTTTTTTTAGCTGGCAAGAAATAATTCAAGGGCATCCCCATAATTACATACCTGAAATAGCAAAAATCTGTTTCAATCAACAACATGTTCTTACGCTCTCGTAAGTGACACTGAGAGCTGAGATATTAGAACAATAAACAGCATTTTCCAGTTTCTCAGCTTTGTATGCAGTTTTGGCATACTTCTCATCTTCAAAATGGATTATTTAGAAATAAAAAGCATATTACAGAATCACAGAATCGTTTAGGTTGGAAGGGACCTCTGGAGATCATCTAGTCCAACCTCCCTGTTCAAGCAGGGTCACCTAGAGCATATTGCCCAGAATTGTGGAGTGAATATTGTGGAGTGAATACCCCAGTACCCCTTTTCTGTTCAGCATATACCCAAGTACTTAATCTGATGATACCTCAGAACTGCAATCCCACTGAATTTATACAGAAATGCTATTGAAATATGCTACATACCAAGGTGTTTATAAAAACTAAGCTTCAACTGTTTCACAGAAAATTTGAGAGGCCTCGTTTCCTAACTGATTTCAGAAAAGCCATTTTCTTCCTGGGGAAAAAGGGTAAGAGAGTTGATACCTTTCTACCCCTAGCCACCCTGTTTCTCTTGCTTAAACTGTGAGATTTTTGGTGTGACAATGTTTTTAAAACAAGGCATCTCATACAAGAGAGACATGGTTACAACTTTCAGCCTTAGCAATATTCACGAGACCTTTCAGTGGAAGACAACCATAAAGCCTAAACAGTGGATACCAAATGCTGAAACGAGAAATTCCTCTGTCAAAATTCTAAACTTCCCAACACCTTCCTGTAAAAATCTACCTCTCAGTTGACAGTAAACATGGCTCTTAAAACTCTTCATCAATTTGTCTGAAATACCTTCTTTCATGGTTACCGTGGGCTTTCACCACTGTTCTTCTATAGCCCAGCATCTTATCTGATCTAAATCTCTGTAGTTTCTCCCAATTACTTTACATCCAGCTGTGCAGAAGCTGTACCTCTTGCTGAACTATGCCTTTCCACCGCATCCACACAAGCTCTTGCCCAGGCTCACAGTTCATCCCTTGATCACTACATCACTTCCTTTTGCCTTGACAAAGGGGCGATCACATTCTGCTCACAGGTGTTCAGGCTGTAGTAGCAAAGTCCTTTTCACAGACCACAGATTTTACCATTTCACTCATTCACTTCTGACTGTCTCTCATATCAGCTAAGCTAATATGATTTCCCTTTCAAGGCTCTTTACAACACAACCTGGTCATAGCACCACTGTTCAGACTGCTGACAGTGATGCCCACTTTCCAGAAAACAACGATGCTAGTCTCCCTCCAATAACGCTTTCAAACACGCATCTTTTAGCTTTTTCTTCTTCCTAAGTAAACAAAATTGGGACAACTACCTGTAAATACCTGCAGCAACTTTATTATTTTTTTTCCAGCCATTCTTTAAAAATGTCCTGTTGAGATGCCTAAATAAATCAACAGCACTTAGACTGTGGATATGCCAAAAGCATAGTGAACTATACCGAACAATGCCACTTTGTACTGCCTCCCATCTTCCTCTCTCAGTTTGGTCTTTTAGGTCTGCAAGCTCTTCTACCAAGAAAGAAAGGTGCCTTGACCTACAGGTGAAGTTCTTAAAAATATGTGATCTGCATCTGTATTTTAAATACATATATATATATATTAAAAAAAAAAAAGATGTCCATAAAAAGATCAAGGTGAAATATAACATAACCTTTAGACCTGTAGAGGCTACTTTTTGTGCAGTGGGCTCATTACCATAATTCAGCAGTCAGCCATAGGCAATCAAATCTAGAACAGGAAGCCACGGAGAAAATTTAGTACAGAAGTAGGTTATGCTTTCAAACATGAAAGCATAGTTCTCTGGGATAATTCCCAGAGAACCATGAAACAATAGAAAGCATTTAAAAGCGTTGAGTCCTTGTACACTGGCTTTTGACACTGACTGAGTGCTATCTGTATTCTTCATGAGAAGAAAACACCAGATTATTCCCTCGTACTGCAGGACTTGAAGGTGCTTCCTGTTTACAATTTAGTTATCAAGCTATGCTAATAAAATCCTCAAATTTGGAGCTTATTGGTTCACAAGGTAATTAAAACCATGTTCTCTCATCTATTTATTTTCCATTTCCCCCTGCTCTTTCTTCCCACTAGCTCAGCAAGGCTCCTTCCTCTAAAAGACACATGTTTATAACAAAATGGGAAAGGCAGTCTGGCACTCCTTCACGTAAGCAAACATAGAAAAAACAGCCCGTAAATAGGAAATAGAACTGAATTTGTGCTGTAATGTGCAGGAAGTGATAGATGAGGTCAACTCTTTCATGGAGTGTTTTCAAATGAAGGAAAACTGGGCTAAAAGGAACAAAAAGACTGCTAGCAGAAAACATGAAAAATGCAGAAACAGTGTGATTCAAATCAATAGAAACAGTGACAAGCAACTCAGAGTCAGGAGAGATAAAGTTGCTTGTGATTCTCTGAGGCTGGCAAATGGCTTGCCTGTTAGTCAGTATAGGACTAATTGTAGCTGTCATATTTACAGATTCATAGTGCAGAAATTGTAAATAAGTAATTATCCCTGTACCTGTATACTAGTTAGTGAATCATGACTGCCTGTTACATTACAGCAATTCATACTTCACAGGGTTACTATGAAGCAAATCACAGAAACAACTATGTTGGAAATACAAACCAATAGCAGCAATTAGTGGAAATTAGGAACGCTGTATAGTCAAGGGGTTGTTACCACTGAAACTCTTTTTCTTTCTCTTTTCTTTTTACTCTTCCTTCTCTATTAGCCGCCTCAAATCACACTTTTACTTCTTTTCTACTTCTTGACTTCTGTGCTAGCTTTTAAAACACCTCAAATCAGGATCGTATTTTCAGCAGTATTTCTGCCATAAAATGAAAAGTTTTAATGTTTTATTTTACAGCCTGTTGCATACAAATGCCAGACCACGAGTGGCATCGGCAGCTGCCTGAGCAGTCTGGCCTTGAAGTCAGGCCCAGGGAGACTTGTACGGCAGCAGTAAAGTACCACTCGATTTTGTATTCCTCTCTAGACTATTGTTTATAAACACAGCATCGCTGTGTTTATAAAAGTAAATCTATAAAGTAACCATTCACTAGGACTCCTCCTGGACCACAGATGATGCACTCTCCCTGAGCACACAACTACAAACCACACTGCTGAAAATCAAGAATGCTGTAGGGATGAGAAGGGAGAAACAATGGGTATCACTTTTCCCTCTACCCTTCAGAAGCAATTATAGATATCATATCTATACTGTTCTCGCAATACCATGTTTCCTACGGAAACCGCACGCCATACCATTTGTCTGCAAGTCTACTTGACCAAATGAATGAGCAGGCTCACACGGAAATCACAGCCAACCCTCCTCCCACAGCAAACAGGCTCCAGTGATGCCTTAAAATGGAAATGAAATCACAACAGGAAGAGCCTCAATTCAGTGCCAAACAGTGGCAGAATAATGTGCAACTAAGGACGGAGGAGTAATTCCCATAAACAATGGGGTTATGCAGAAAAGGACTCAGGAGGAGAAGGAAAGAGAATTCCTCTCACCGGGAGAAGCTGTGATTCAGTTTCCTTCAGCTGCTACCTGACAGTAAAAACAAGGGAGAAAAAACAGGCAGGGACAAAAGCGGCTTCCACCCCACCTTTATGTCATCAACAGTGTAACTCTGGGAGCACAACTTTTTAAAAGAAATAGAAAAGTCTGTGAGTGTCAGGTATTCTAGACTATTAGATTTTAGTTTGATTTGCAGCATCTGTAGTTTTGGCAAGCCAACAACGTAAGTAATTGTAAACATGCCAATGTTTTATGTTCGTGCCTGGCTTTCTGACACCAATAACCCACAAGCAATATTTCCAAAGCTAATCTGATATCATTTGCAAAACACATATACAGACAGGAAAACAAAGACTGACAGGCTCACCCCAGTATAACACCAGACAGCAAAAGTTTACTGAGTGTAATGGAAATTAAGAGGTGAGGACATGCTCATTTATCAAATTTCTAAGAGATTAGCGGGATAGCATAGAAGAGAACTACCGTAATACAACAGCTAAGGAAAAAGCCAATCTAGGTTAGTTAAAAATGTTAAGAATTCATGGCTCAGATCCACAATCCACATTCATGTTTACCATCCTACTCAAATCAGTAGGGTGCAACTTAAAGACAAATACAGATGACAGATTCAGTTTGAGTAACGTTCTCCAGGCTCTTCCCCCCCACCACCCCCTTCAAACAAACAAGCTAACCAACAAGTTCAATGGCCCAAAATCACTCCCTTTGCCTAAGACCAGATGTTAGCTTTTGACTTTCAAAGGCGAAAGCAGAAAAGGAGTCAATCTGAAAAAGTAGAAAAGTACTTTCTTTGGTCTTTATCTGCTGACCGGTCTGCTCCACCACTGGATCTCCACTACAAGACTCTTCTCAACACCTCAATTAAAGAGCACTTTTCCTGTGACCACAGGCAGGTAGGAACGCAACACACATCTTTCATTTATTTAGCGGTTATTCCAACTGTCTTCCTCCTCTCTTTTGACAGCTCATGGTGAGGGACTCGCATTTCACTACAAAAAGACAGCAGCTTCCCCAATGGGTTTTACTTGCAAAATAGGTTTTACCAGTTTCTTTAAGAGACTATATCAGATAAACTCCAGTTTACGTTGTCCCTGAAAATTACACCATGGAGATGAAAATAAGAAAATTAACACTCAAACATAAATTCTCTTAGTTTTAACCTCTCTACGAAACACTAAAACAGAAAACTCAACACGAACGTGGAAGATAATAGATGCTATAGGGAACATAATAGGTATGATTTCCAAGTCATCTTAATTTTTCCACATACATGAGCAATTTCATTTTTACTGTGAACCTAAAATGCGGTATTTTCTAAACTCATGAAAAAATTAAAAGTTAACATACAAAGGCCAGAGTTTTTTTCTGTGGAAAAGCCTGACTTGCGGGTCATCCCTGATTGACCCAGATTTTTGGAGTCTCCAAACAATCACTAAACAATTCAGCAAGTGTCATGGTCACACAATAGCGTTTGTTTGTAAGGGAAAGCCTATCACTTGATTTGGTTGACTTATTTCTTCACAGGTGGAAAGCGCACCCACAACGATAACAGCGGTGCCACGCAGTGAAAAAAAAGGCTATTTAAAGCAGGGTGGCTGCAGAGACATTCCTGACATACCTGCCAGAGTTTTAACAACTTTTTAGAAACGACTCCTGGCTGATTAATACACCACCATTGTTCATCTTAGTTATGAAAATTACAGAAAAAGAAACGTAAGTAGCATTCCTGTATTTGAAGAGCTCGTTTGGAAAAGAAACGACTATTCGCCAACAGCATCTAAGTCATTCTGGTCAGCTTCCTCCCTACTGTCAGCGCTTGCACGGGCAAGTTCCCGGTTGCAAACACCCAGGCGCGTTTCGCGGGACACAAGCAGCCTCCCAGACGCGCCTCCGCCGCAGCTTTCCAGCG